AAAACAAACAAGCACAAACCCAACCTGCACCGTCTTTAAATAAAATAATTTTTGTTTTCATCCTTCAACGACAGAGACCCCAAAACCAGAATCACTTCAGTTTATGCTCTTGTGCCACTAGAATTCACCAACTTCAAAAGGGTTAAGCTTAAGAGGAATGTCTTTCTGAATTACATGAGTGGATTTAATTTGATGTGACAACAGTAGCCATACAAGTCCTCCCCCAGGCTAAACAGCAATAACAGGGTGTGAAAAGTCATTATTTGTTGAGAAGTCTGGTGTAAATTAAAAGTCACACCTTCCTGTCACACTTCTTACTTCCTTGCAAAGAGTAAGGGAGGGGAAAAGGAAAAAGGGAAAAAAAAAAGAGAAAAGGCTCCCAAAAGTTAAAAGATAAAACCAAATGCAAAGCAGAAAGATACTTTCCTTACCAACCAAGTAGTGTGAAAGCACTGAGATACATTAAAATGGTGGAAAGCTCCTGCTTCATTCTACAAGAAGACTAGCATCCTAGAACAGTACTGCTGAAGCAGACAAGCAGATAGGAATGTTTCAAAAAGTGTAAGGCAAACTACACTCATGCACAACAATATGCACATTTAGCCCTGTGTGGCTAACTCTGCAGAGCAAAACGTCCTTTTGCACATGGAAATGCAGGCTGTAAGCTTTAGGGATGGGAAGGAAGTGATGTCAGTTTGGAGGCTGTTTTAAAAGAATTATTTTATATTGTTACCATAAAAGACGGTCGAAGAAACTCTGTAAGACTCGATTTGGAGTTTTAAACAGCAGGCATTCTTTATTGCAGCGCTGGGCTCGCGCACAAATCACTTTGCAAAGGTGAGCGCCCCTGGAGTCTACAAGCAGCATCCATATATCCAACAAACTTACGCATATTTACAACCTTTCCGGGGAATGTCTTACATATCCTATAGATTTCCTGAAACTAATTGTAATATTTGCATTTTAATTATTCATGCACTTTTCTTGCCAAGTGGTGGTCTCGAGGGGTCTCTGATGGTCATCGATAGTCTTCTGGTAATTGATCTCTGTGAAAAGACTCTTGTGAATTACTTAACAATTGTGTCTGTGTTTTAGGTTTGTTCTGATTTGTTCCTTATCTTGAAGAACCTGCCCTGTCTGTCCTGGTCATTCCTTTCTTATCTTCACAGGATACCCTTGTTTTATACGTATCCCAAGGTCGCACCGGCCTATCTTGCTCTCAACAAAGCTGTCCCAATTTGCAATCTAACGTCTTGCTCTCAGCTGAGCGGTCCCAATTTACAGCTCTGCATTTTAGCTTACAATATGTGTTAAGGGCCTGTATGCACAAATACTTTGAAATGCTTCTCAAAAGTTACTTCACTTACTTGCATATACTATGGATAAAGGAGCTAAAAAAAGAGCACACCAGACTACTAGCAACATTATGGGGGCAACAAGAAAGACTGAGTATGAATGCTGAGATTTGTCTTCATTAATGATACTATTTATTACAGTATCATCAAAAGACTACCTAGCAAAGGGTTCCCTCAGCTCAGTGTGGTGAAACACATGAATATTTATGTTCTTCAATTAACTCTTAAAAGTCAGGATATGTTAAAAAATAATGGCAGCATTTTAAAGACAGACAGTATTTACAGCATACCTTAAAGTCAAATTCAGAATAGTTCTACATATTAGTGATCCCTGTCTGTTGATAAATACAGCCCATTATTACAGACCATAATAAATACTGGGAACCATTTTTTCAAACACCTAAGGTAAATGTCTATCATTAAGACTTAACCAGCCCTGGTTAATGAAATTCAGTAGTGAAATTAATAAAAATTGATTTTCCCTAGGATGAATTGGGACAACACTTGCTTTTACTATAAAATCCAGTAGTTGATTTTCCAACCTAGTTGATTCTATGATTCTATGAAAATCTCAGGTGTTTTAATCAGATCAAGCTAAAGACTTATCTATGCTACAGATTTCTACACAGTAACAAGGGATGAGGTTCCTGACCAGCACTCCTGTGATGGCAAAGGCATACTATGCATGCACTAATTTACCATGCAGATGTTTTATGAGAAGATACAATGAGCTATCATCAACTTGAAGTGACACTTCTAAATGAATAAACTTATACATCAAAACATTTTAGACAAGAAAAGTGAGTTATAATATCCAGTATACATGTTGACTTGTGAGAGACTCTGTGCCATCACAGGTTACAAATACCACAGCCTTTAACAGGCCTCCATGTCAATGTCACCAAGGTCAGAATTAAGGTTAATTTTGGTGCATTTTAATACAAGACTCAGGAGTGTGATATGTGGATATCTATACATCACAGCTGTGTGGTGCATATTGTAAAGAGCCAGGTCTCAAAGTTGGCTTAACAAAGGACTCCAGCTCCTGTCACTGAGAGGTACCGAGACCTTTGACACTTAAGCCCTGTAGTGTGATTCCACAGTAGCCTAAATCACAACACTCATTATTCAGCTCTCTTCTTTGCAGCCATATGTGCAATCATGCAATCAGTAGTGCAGGCTAAGCTGAAAACATAATTATTTTGGTATGGTGGGTTTTGGATGGATCAGTGCCTTTAACCAACTCCCTGGCCAACTGAGTGAAAATAGGTGGTGGAACCATATCCCTAGATTCATCAAGGTGCAGACTGATCACTGCTATAATGCGTTATAACAACAAAGATTTCTATCTTAATGGAACACTGACTTGTAAAGTTAGGCCAGAAACCCAAACCGTAAGTAGCAACTATTCCAACACCAAAAACAATTGGGAAATGTCCTCATCTCCTTTCCCTCAAATAATTTTGCTTGGATTATACTGGCTCTGCTTCTTGCAAGGTTACTTTTGCTCCCATTTGAAGCCCATTCAAGCTTTCCTGGTGAATAAGATGAGGAGTACTCCTAATAGTGAAGCTAATCCATTAATTACTCAGAAGGATGGGTGTAAGTTTCTATTATTTGTTTGCTCCGTTCTTGATTTAGAATCATACACCAGTTCAGACAGCTGAACTAGCAGTGAGTCTTCATGACCTTACAAAAAATGGTTAAGGTTAACTGAAAATAACAGTTTACCCAATCTATTCTGATTTAAAAGGGTTGTTGGAAATTCGTAAGTGCTTCAGTTGGCACATCAATGCTGCTAATGTTTGACAAAGACACTCTGTTGCTCTTAAGGGATGGATACAGAAACCTTTTTAGCCTGGGTGACATCTAGAAAGAGATACATATCCCTAAGTGAGTCTGCACAGCTGAGCTATGACATAAGTTTGGTCTTCCATGTGGAATCCCATGGATACATGGCATTTACATGTTTTTTCCAGATCTACAGAGCAGTACACCTTCGATACCTAAGAGGGTTACAAAATACATCACTTGAATTCTGTTCATATGCTTTAATTGTTCTTAGTCTGTATTACAACCTGCACTCAAAGTAAGGTTTTTTTTGTCCATGTTTGAACAGTGAAGCAACCCACCAGTGCAACTGGAATACATTTTAAAGAGGAAAAAATATTTTTGAGGATTTGTCCCTCAGAACTCTGTGCTCGCACTGTCTTTCCAGATACACAGGGACTGCAACAAACAATTGCACATCTCTTTAAAACAAGTCTTGCATCAACAAAGGATTTCATCAATCAGTGACTCAATCGTGCTCAAAGTCAGGATCTGACCTCTCACTGAGAAGGGTCTTTGCTAGTCTCTGTGAAATGTATCATCATCACCCTCAGCCACATGTCTGAGATAGCCCAACCTCAAAAAGAGCTACTAGCTAGATCAAGAACTTAACAAAGGTT